TTCGGACGAATGCGCGAGGCTCTTTCGGCAATTCAGATGGATTTACCATATACAGCCCGCACCCAGATAGCTATTTTCCTTATTGATTTATTCGTCGGGTTCGATTTGATCTGAAAGTGGAAGCTAATACTTCTTTTTATAGGGCACCGGTAACGCCAGCCAGCCCGTCTTGATGCAAGTCCAGGGCGGCCAACAGCAGGGTCAGCAACCTGTCTTTGTCCAGGGCACCAACGGCAGCTCGGCTACACCTGTCTTGGTGCAGGTTCCCGGCGGTCAGCAGCAGCCCTTTTACGTTCAGGTCCAAGGCCAGAGTGGCGTTCAGCCGGTCCAGATGGGCGCTCAGCCCGGCGCATTCCCCGCTATGGTCTCTCAGCCTCAGCCGATGGGTGGCGGCGGTTTTCCCGACGTGATGGGAATTGGCCGAACTGGAACCGAGATCCAGATCGAGCAGTATCACACCGCTATGAACAACGGGGCTCTCGAGGCTCAAGACATGGCACCCGCTGATCCCGACCCGGCCCGTATGTACTACTGCCGAGAGCTGGACGGCGAGTGGACTCTTCGCAACCGCTACGGCATCGACAACCTTGGCGACTGTCGTTGGTACGTCATGCCCGGCGGCATCTTCTATGCCGTCCGCTTGGCTGACTGAAGGGTGTCTATTGGTAAGGGTATTGCTAGCCTTGGAATCAGTTGCATATTCGCTAATGTTTCTAGACGCGCATCGCCTTGACTTGCATCCCCCTCTTTATGCGGTTCCGAAACTTCTACCCCCAAGTACTTTCTACGCACTGCAGCAATACCTAGCGGAGTTGATGCAGCCCTAAATACTATGTAAGCCAGACACCACAGCTTTTATATGACACAAGCGCATGCTTTATGACTAACTTGTTTCAGCATACAACCTTCAAATAAGGTCTTGGTGGGAAGATAGGCCGTAGGGATGATGTGGTAGGAAGGGTAGCCCTCGATTTGCAGTCTTGGGTCCCTTAGGCAATGCGGTTTCTTCTGATTTGGTTTTCGTTCCTGGGTTTCACTCGGTGGAGGATTGCACTTTTGCTTTTCATGTTTGAGGACGAGATTGTCCACTTGCCAATGGCAACAGCATTTACGGTACGGCTAGCAGCTGATACAGAGACGAGTGTCTCCCCTATCTAGTTCACCAGATGAGCCGGTACGACCTCACTCTTCTACATCAGCTGCTATGCCCCGAAGAACCCCTCTCCTTGTCACCTTTGCGCGGTGTTCATGGTTGTTTTCTACTCACCTCGGATAGTTTATAAAATAAACTCCGGATCCCTAGCAGACCCTACGAGCCTAGTTTTGTGAAATGTCCATTTGACTGTATGAAGTGCCTGGTTTGGTGAAACTGAATATGCTGAAGGATCGTGGTTGTTGCGGCTGAGACAATGTCTTACCGAACAGGAACACGTTGCGGAACACGTTGCGTACGTACGGGTATGCACCCCTGACTGCCAAGCCAGCACGTCCCCGCGCTCATCTCAGCTGATAGCAGCTGGCACTGTCGGTCTCGATCAGTCTTACTATCGATCACTCACAACTCAACATTATTTTCCATAGATTCTTCTTTCTCGACACTTACACAGTTCACCGTTCGATGCAACACCCTCATTCAGCACTCAAGATTGCTGATGACAGGTAGCAAAGAGGTTACAATGCTCTTATCTACATGTAGTTAAATCACATCACCAGCCGCAACGTTTCGTCCACCCCTCCTCCGCGATACCCCCTCGATTTCTCCAACTGCCATTTGGGCCGCAACCATTAGCATGAGTAATGTGTTTCAACGGCCGGTGTGGCAGAGCATAATACATCTAGTTCTATCTCGACTCTTCCTCAATATTAGTGTAGCGGATGCGAAATGACGTCCGCGAACAAGATATAAACTATTATTATCCAAGTAATTTCGCTTATGTTGAAACACTCACTCGTCGTCAATGTAAGATACGAAACCCCATGTTCAAACAGAAGCCACCCTTGTTCCCCCGCAATTGAAGCGGTATGCGACAGCCACCCATCGTTGTATAGGCCCTGTCATCTTCGGTCCTATCCTCGGTGGGGTTGGATTGTCGATCTCTCGTTATCGATTGACTATGCCATCCATGTTCCTTATGCCAGACGCATCAGTCTCAGTATCTCAAGAGTGTCTACGTCTTATCGAGCTGCCTCATTCGGACCTATTCCCATTCTCACTACTCAGATGCCGGCGGACTAGCCAAGTCCGTCTTCGCCTTCTTTCGTCGATGCTGCTACGGCCTTCACCGAGCCGCGGACCATGTGACGAAGACCGGGGCCGGAACTTCTCCAACGACAGCCTTCCTCTTTGGGCCAACGCCTGGAATTCTCCTTCTTTTAGTCTTGCACGACATGACTCCTGTTTCCCCTGGACATTGTACAGCAACCATGCAGCTCTTCGGGTAACCACAAACAAAGAGTCGCACACCTACGAGAACGAGCCCGTTGCCCCGGCGCGGTGGGAACCGGGATTTGCAACATTTACTATGTAGAGGCCGATGTCTGACGATCGCATAAGCGTGTTAGTCAGTTGAGCTAGGCGAGCCTTGGCGGCCCGATGAAAAGGGCCTTCGGTGCTGGTGGCATGGGTAACATGAGCATCGTGGCGGACATGTTTCCCCTTTCATGGATGGCGTGGCTCGCCGTTCTATCGCCAATCGAGAGAGCAACTTTGAGGATACCCACACGACTTTGTTTGCTGGGACTTCTGGGGCCGACTATACCCCCTGTCTTCTCCGCGCGTCGCAAGGGTGGCGTTGTTACGATCATGGTCTGTTACCCCGGACTATGTTTGAGTAGCGTGTGTGTGCTTGCTGAATCTGATATGAATATATTTATATCTGTTTGCGTTCTCTCGCTTGTGTCGTGTTGTTTTGTGTCAGCTCTTGTCCTCCATCGACCCCTTTGTGACTCACTTGGATGTGATCACCCTTACTCTCAAGGTAGCCCGTTGGGCCAGTTTGCTTCTAGGCTACTCCTGGTTCCTTATTATATACTGTGGCTTTGCTAGATGATTCATACCGCCATTCGAGACCATGGCGGTCGATGACCGCGGACCCCAGCTCGCTGCTGTTACACTGTTCTTCCTGGGCCTCGCAGCCCTCACCGTGTCGCTCCGGTGCTATGTCAGACTATACATCCTCAAGGTGTTTCAGGTGGAGGATTGGTTGGCTGTCGCATCGATGGTAAAGCATTACTGTCCAAGACAAAATTTAGCTCACAGCTGATCATAACAGGCTTGCTTCGTAGCCTACGCGACGATTGTCATGCAAAGTATTTCATACGGAGCAGGCAAACATCTCGACGTTGTCCCTGCTGAGCAGATTCCGCTTGCCCTCAAGGTACTCAATCCTTCTGGGACCCCAACATGGGATACGCTGTTGACTAATTTGCCTCTCCGACAGGCTAGATGGGCCGGTGAGCTATCTTACGTCGTGACGTCCATGTTTACCAAGTTTACCGTGGGCATCTTTCTGCTCCGCATCTGCTCGCGGGCGTGGCAGAGATCCCTTCTCTGCACCACGCTGCTAGTGTGTCTCATCTACCACGTCTTCTACACCTTCCTGGCCGCCTTCCAGTGCCAGCCTGTCTCGTTCTACTGGCTGAAATATACCCCGGGGGCGGTGGGCAAGTGCTGGAGTGACGATATGGTCATTGGCTGCACGTATGTGGCCGCCGCTCTCAATGCTATGGCCGATTGGATACTCGGGTTGCTGCCCATAGCGCTGGTGCAGAATCTTGGGCTGTCCAGAAGAAGCAAGGTCTTGGTTTCTGGTACTCTGGCTCTTGGATCTATGTATGTTTTTCTTCCCCCCCCCCCCCCCCCTCTATTTTTCTATCTTAATCACCGACTTTCTGTCCGTCTCCGCCTTCCCCTTTCCCTAAGCACTTATATACTATTATATCGAACCAGAGACTTTGCTAATCATACATCTGTAGCGCATCCTCGGCAACCATCGTCCGCATCCCGTATATCTGGCAGCTGACGCAGCCGGGCGACTTCATGTACGAGTTCACGGATCTGGCCATCTGGTCGACAGCCGAAGTCGGCTTTGGCATCGTCGCGTCGTCGATGGCGACGCTGCGCCCGCTCGTCAGGCGCGTGCTCGGGGGCACCGCGTCGTCGCCGTCCTTGCGCTCACGCTCGTTCTCGTTGTCGCGCCACCGTTCACACTCATACACCTCGCGCCCCTTCCACTACTCGTGGCGCCGGTCTGGTACGGTGGCCGTGCGCCACAGTAGGACGCAGAGCGGGAGCCCGAAGGAGGAGTGCTATAGGATAGGGAGTTGGCGCAGGGAGAGTAAGGGTGAGGGTGAGAGCGAACCGAAGATGCCGGAGCTGGTGAGGATAAGGGAGATGAGGGTTCAGGGATGTGGGTAGGCGTTCAAAATAGTATGTGATAAGTAGTAATGCATATCGGGTTTAAGTTATGTTAATGTTGCTGAGTTAAAGTGCTGCAGTGAACATTATGAGGTGGTTGGGCTGTACCGTAGACAGCATTCAGGAGCAGCGCGTGCATGTCGCAACACCCATATGCCAGCACCAGCATGATTTTATATATATAACTATCAAACGCTTAATTGCTCACCACGTCTGTACTCCTGTCATATTGGACTTAAAGCTATGTGGGCTACTAGAAATCAATGGTATTGTGAGTCGATGCTCGTGAAGAAGATTCCCGTTGATGGGTTTCTATAACATGATCTGAATTAAGTTGCAAGTCGACTCGCAAACCGCGTACCTACCTAGGTAGTTTTGACATATAGGTGCTACTTAAGATGCGTTTATTCGCTCAAAGCTAAGCCAATGGCCTAAGTATCACGTACACTGCCGTCGTGCCCCTCCATCTAGCCAGTAGTGACAACCCAACCCACTGTCGTCCCGAGCAAACAACCCCTCCCAAAGAGAAGGGTCATAAGGCACAGGTGCAGTACCAGTTTTCAATGAAACAAGACAACCTTAAGCCGAGGTGGTCTAGTGGTAAAGATTCTGGGACAGCAAGGAGCGACGGCATGGGCACTAAAATCTCCTGACCGCGGTTGCTAGGCACCACGAAAGAACCGTGGCTGCTAGGGCACAGCGTGGGGGATCTAGTACATGCCCACCACCTTGCTAACTGGAGACGCCGGTTCGATTCCGGCCCTTGGCAATTGAACATTCTTTTTTTTTTCCTCTCTCTTTCTTCATATTCCTTATCTTTCTTGTCCCATCCATCTTAAAAAAAATCTTCAATATCTTTAGCTGTTGCCTTCATAAGGGGGACACTGATAATAACCTTACACGCTTGTTAGATATCTTGGTATTACTATCGCCGGCCCGACCCCCAGAGCGAGGGGGTATGGACGGATGGCCTACGCCGGTAGTCGCAGTTGGCTATTCTGCGCCTCCCGGGACATTGCATCAGGACATGCGATGGTTGGTTTCTGCACCGGAACACTAGGTCAAGTTCGTGCTGCTCGTCATTTTTGCGTATCGCGACTAGATGATTCCTGATCGAGAAGTGTGAGAAGGAGAGGAGAAGGAGGAGACGCGTTATCGCTTCCTCGACGACGGAGGGATCCGCTGGTACCGTACTTCGCCAGAGTATCACCATCTCGAAGAACGCGAGCGACCCGGCATCCAATGGTGAATTAGTCCTGTTGCTGAGGCTATTGTGTCTGCGTGATCCGGCTCTATATGAGAGAGGAGATTTTGTCATCGATGTGGAAAAACTGAAACACTACACGGAGCATATCCGGCGCTACGTTTGATATAAGTCAGCGCCGGCTGGGAGGAGTCTCTTTCGAAAGATGGGGTGGATTTTGATGAATATACTAGAACCTAGGAGCGTGGTTGCGTGACCCCTAATCTTGGACGCTGGTCTTGCTCTACTTTGCATCTTAGATAGTTAAGGGCATACTTTCCGAAGGATGATATTATTACTACATAGATTAGTTTTTCATCCAATTGAATATCTCCTCCCTAAGCATCTCACATTATCCACCTGATTGTTCATATCTCGTTATGACTGAGAACTAGTTACGTATAGACGAAACTTGGACTAATCTTATCGGTATAGACTAAGACCAAGTATCTCTTAGCTATCGACTTGAAATATCTGCTTGATAGCTGTGATTGTTAAAGGCTTCCAAGTCGAGTAGTTTTTATTGTAATATTCACTGGCTAAGTCGTTAACTGGTAATGACTTGGAACTCCATGATTACGGCTAAGCAGAAACACTGCAGTCAAATGATAAAGCTCTTTCAACTTTGAAATTACCGAGGCGTGTCCTAGATTATCTCTTTATTGGCTAGATAATCGCTCAATAGCCTGGCGGCTTGCGGCTGCTGCACCGGTTTTGGCCTAGGGTAAGGTAAATCGACATTGACATCGACTAATGAGATTGTTTTTTTATAGCCAGCTGTCTAAAGGAATTACGCAATGATATGAGCCCCTATGTACCCCTCTGTTAGTTTCGGTAGCATCGGAATAATGATTGTGGATTACTTATTAGAGATCTGAAGCAATTTGCGAATGTTCGATATATGAAGTTCGGAAGCGAATAGGGAATAGGGGGGAAGATTCAAACACGGCAGATCCTCGGTCCGTCGCCCGTCCCACATCTCTTAGGTACGTAATCTCGCGGGTACGTGCATGTCGCTATCCGCTAGGTCAACCTATCTTCTACCCATTATTTTCACACCCGACACGACACAAAACCACCACAACCTCGCGAACGATGTAATGGTACCCGCGCCCTCCCTCTTAGTCGCCGACGCCACCGCCACCGCCACCTTCACCACCGTCGCGGGCGGCAGCACCATCGCCAGCAATGTCTACGAACAAGCCCTAGAGCGGCTGCGGCCGCTGCAGCCGGTCCTCTGGGGCTTCAACCACCGCAACCGGAACCAGCACCGGCGCGCAGCGTGGTGGGGCGCCTTCGGCATGCTGCGGCGGCGCGTCGACAAGGTAGTCGAGGAGCTCGCCTCCCTCTCGTCACTAATCAATACTTCCAACTCTAACACCAGATCTAGCAGCAGCCGTAGTAGCAGTAGCGGTGTTGCCAAGAGTAAGAAGCGCAAGCGAGTCGAAGAGGAAGCAAAAGAGCAGCAGGAGGAAGTACGCGGTCACGTGCGCTGGCTGCGGGATGTTCTGGTGCCCAGGTGTTATTTGTGAGTGTGCTTGCGGGCGATGATGTCATAGGGGTAATTGGGGGCTCAGGCGCTAATGAGATACGAATAGGGCGTTCTCGCAGTTAACTGCGGATAACCAGTTTGCCACATTAGGTGTTGTGCTCCTCGGCGCGCTGGCGCAGGTTAACGCTGCCTGTGTGGGAGTAACTGGAAACGCGCCAATGGGTCCGGATAACGACGTCTCTGCGCTGGGACATGTGATCAGCACCATGTCGGTCGAGGGGCGCGGCGACGCCGGTGACGCAAAGAAACTACATGCGCCGATCCGATCTGATCGAGCGCCCGGGGACGAGGGGTTGGGTCAGATAGGGGCAGTGATCTCGCGGGACGAAGTAGCGAGGGCCGAGAAGCTGCGGCGGAAGAAGCAGAAGCTCGAGGAGGGGACCGGGAGCCGCCGCTTGGAGTCTCCCGGTGTGTCCAATTTGACTGAAGATGTTCACAAACGTGGCGGTGATGATATTACCTCCAAAGCAAAAGGCCAAGATATCAAGAGCGTCCTTGGCAAAGAGGACTCAATTCCAATCAAGAAGAAAAAGAAGACAAGGAAAGACGGCGACGAATTCGACAACTTATTCAAGGGCTTATTTTGATCCGCAAGAGATACAGACGGCGACGTTTAATAGACAGCATGCCTTCCCATATTATACCATTACAGATACCCGGAAAAAGCATTGAATTTACTTACACCCAAAATACTACACGGGCATTTAAAACACATCCTTTGCAATTACTATGAAAACCTGCGTGACAATAGTTCCTGGTATAAGCTAGATAGTACACTTCCACTTCGGCACAAGTTCTTCAGAATCTCGTTGCTGATACGAGACCCGAGACCCGATGCAGAATTTAAACCCTTTCCCCTCCGCCCTCGATTTCTTGGTTGGTTTCCTCTTTGATATTCTCTCGTTTGCCAATTCGTTATATTGACAACGTATCGTCGGTTTCTTTGATTTTCTCGAGCGCCTCGTGGGACAAGTATGGTGATAGAAACGCCTGGGTTGACTGAAGATTGAGATCCATTTTCTTTTGGCTGCCCTGTCACATCTGGGAATATTGGCTATATGTTGATTGCTGGCAGTGACATCCAAATCCACTGCGCTTTGACCATGATCGCTTCTATTGCCGTTCTCGTCTTAGGATATCGCACGATACGACCAAATACGCGCTCTCATGTCGCCAGAGCCAGTCGCGAAGTAGTTGCCCATTGGGCTGGGCGCGACAGAGATGACGGAGTTCTTGTGGCCCTGAAGCATCAACTGCGTGAACCCGGTTCGGGGATCCCAGAACTGCACGCCCCGATCCTTGGAGCCCGACATGACCCAACTGTTGTCGGGTGTCAGAGCAACACTGAGGACGAAATCCTACTCATGTTAGTATATCGAAGGGCGGAACGGAGAGATTAGTACCAACCCGATGACCCTCAAATGTCTTCACACACCTCCCACCCTTAGGACCGGGGTTTTGCACACCCCGAGGCGACGACAGTTCCCACATCTTTATAGTCTTATCAAGACTACCGCTCACAAGGTCCTTGCCGTTAGGAGAAAATGCCACAGAGTAAACACTATCCTTGTGGCCTTCTGGACCTTCCAGGCGCTCGAGTAGGTATCCCTGATGAATGTCCCAAACTCGTACACTCTTGTCAAGAGAACCAGCGGCAACGTATTTGGTGTCTGGCGAGATGGCAACTGTTGTCACACCGTCTTCAATGGAGAGGGTCAACATGTTCGTGCCCTGCTCAATATCCCAAAGTCTCACGGTCCTATCGCCACTACCAGATGCGATCGTTCGACCGTCCCTTGCGAAGTCCAGCGAGTAGATATCCTGCTCGTGGCCGGCAAACGTGTTACGGATAGTTCGGGTAGAAATGTCCCACACCTAGGTTAATTAGCAAGTGGTAAACTCACGGAGACTGGTGGGCTGGCAACGCATCAGTACGAGAGAAAACTTACACGGATGAGTTTGTCCTCGGCGCCAGTTGCTAGGTACTTGCCATCAGGACTGAAACACACGCTTCGAATATACAAGTCCCCCGAGACGTCAACGCTATCATCCTGCAACACGCACACTTTGTCTCCCGTGTTCACGTCGTAGATCTGGGCAGATCTGTTACATCCCGTTGCCACGTATTTACCATCGTGGCTGAACCTCACGCAACAGACGACACTTTCGTGGTTCAGAGTATGAACCAGATCAACATCTAGCATGCGCGGAACGTGCTGGTTGAAAATTACAAACCAGTCATCACGGGTCTTCTTCACGTGGGCCGGGAGACGTTCGACGTCCAAATCGCCAAGCGCATTGTTGACAATTGGATGAGGTGGCATTCCTCTATGGTCCGGGGCTGGGTGGTTGGCTACCTGTGGAGAAGCGCCAGGTCCTGCGTAAGGCATTGGCGTATTGATCTGCGGAGTAGCAGGCCCGCCAGCAGGAGGTCTACCAATGCCACGCTTGCCCGGCCCCGGCGAAGCGGTGGTTTGAGGAGGCTGGCCAGGGAACCCGTTAGGAGCAGGGCCCTGGTAGGGCTGCGGGAAAGGCGGTTGCTGCGCAGGCGGCGGCGGAGGCGGAGGAGGGCCTTGTAGTCCCGGAGGCGGCTGCGGGATTTGATGCTGGGGTCCCGGGGGCGGTTGCTCCTGTGGAGTCGGCTGGGGCGGTAGACCGCCTTGACCGCCCTGGCCAGTCATTATACCGCTGAAAAGATTATTGCCCATTCCGATTGAGGGAGGAGGGCCTGCGGACGGGCCGCCATGTTGAGGAGGGCCAGGCATCGTGGGCTGGGGGGCACCTCCTCGTGCTGCTTCGAGCTGGCGTCGTAGCAAGACCATTTCTTCTTCATACCTATATTCGTGTCAGATCATCGTCTCCTAGCTTTTAGACAAGCTGCACCATTTTCCTTACTTAGCTTTGATATTCATATGATTCTGTTCAAGCTGGTACACCTTCTCTCTTATGAGCTGAGCGTCTTGGACCTGTTGCT